CATATGGGCACATTCGGCAGCTGAGGTTAGCAGGAGGCTTCAGGAATGGGCGGAAGAACTTGAAAAGCATGGGTTGCTCTTGAACCCTGGCAAGTGCAAGGCTTACTACTCGCCCCACTGCTCCAGTTGCCCGCCGATCCATGTGCATGGCACTCTGATTCCCCGTGTGCCAGTCCTCGAGGTCATGGGTATCCAGTTTCGTGTGGGGGCTTCTTGCTCGGAACTCATAGCTCCGCTCATTGCCAGAGGCCGAGATAAGTTTTGGTCGCTGAAGCACCTGTTTCGTGCACGGACCCCGCTTGCAGGTCGAGTAAAGCTATTGGACAAGATTGTTGGTGGGACGTCCTTGTGGTGCCTAAGCGCACTCTCTCCTGATGCCTCGGCCTTGGCGTTGATTAACAGCATGCAACTTCAATGTGTGGTTTGGACGATGAGGGTTGGAAAGCGCTCGGATGAGGGATGGTTGCAATTCAAGCAAAGGGCATACAGAGGGGCTCGGCAGGTCGTCTGGAATGTGCTCCGCAAGAGATGGTCTACGGTTTGGTTGGAACGGTGGTGGAACTTCTCGGGACATAGAGCTAGAGGGCTTGACAAACCAGTAGTGCCGAACTCGACGATCATCGACAACTACAGGAACAGAGCCTGGTGGACAAGGGAGCAGGATAGAACCTCGGGTACGCGGCACCCGAGGCATTATCCGAAGCTCTCCAACCTCGAGAGGGACATGGATCAGGCCGCGGGAAGCCAGCCGTGGAGAGGGGTCGCCAGGGATAGGGTTGTGTGGAGAGAGCGATTGCAACGGTGGGTGCAGTGCATGGACCCCCCGTGGGCAGGAAACCGACAAGTGACTCTACAGGGTTGAATGCTGCACGATGTGCGGGGTTGTGAAGGCGATTCTTTGCCTGATGTCGCCGCAGCGTGAAGTGCTGAAACTCGAGCCACAGCGCAATCATGATGATCTTTTCCATATGGTGGGCCGTGTGCGGACTGCCCTTCGAGGGGTTTGCGGCTTCGCCGTGCGGCCCCGAGGAGAATGCCCTGGCCGACCCGCCTTACATGATTCACCGGATGAACGCCGAGATGTTTGACTACGAGGACCCGCCGGAGTCACACCCCGAGGACGAAAAGACAACCCTTATGCAGCAAGTGCCCCTACAAGATTGGTACCTCCTACTTGCAGATCTGCAACGTGGCCTGGAGGCACTCCCCAAAGCCGAGCGCGCTGTAGCTATCCTGCAGCTGCTGAGGTGGCTGGACTACACTGCCACCAACAAACGGCAAGGATATATGCTTGGGCATATGCAAGGTAAGCCGGGGGACGCCACAGCCCTGCTGGTGGCGGCGCTGGAGGACACGGGCATCCAACCGGAGGGTGAGGCCCACCAATGGTGCTCGCCGTGGGTGCTGGAGATGAGAGTGAGACTTCGAGCGCACATACCACGGCATGCAGGGTCGGATGACAGTTGGGGGGAGCCAATGCAGATGGGCATGCCGTGCATTATGCTGTTCAACAAGCCCCTGCCCTCGAACACACCGCCAACCACGCCAGACGCCGAGCAAGCTGCCATTGAGGTGCCGAGCGACGGAGAGACCAAGAAAAACAAGAGAAGATGCATCCTGGTGGAGCTCAGTTCGGGCTCCTCGGATTTACCTAGGGTTGCCAGGCAGATCAGGGTCCCACTGCACGAGGGACGTGCGGAGCTACATATGGCAATGCAGGTTGAGGATGACGTGGATAGCGAGGCCAGCACCAAGCCGGTTGAGGGACCGGCTACTGCACCGCTGGGAGGCAGCACCGGCACGACCAGTTTCTGTCTACCGGAGCCAGCACCAGGCACGTTGGCAGAGGCCGGTTTGTCCATGACCGACCTCCTCAGCCTGTGGGGAAGATGGAGAACTGGGAGCATGGGGGTGAACGATGTGAAGCGAATCCATGGCCAAGTTGCGGCGGAGTTTGTGCAAGAACAATGGGTCAACCTGCCGGCAGAGGCCCTGGAGCTCCCCTCCATCTACCCGGACCACCCCTTGAACGACCTGATGATGCTTCCGAATCACCCCGAAGTGACGGACAACGATCATGCCCTGGAGGCTGAGGGCTCCGCGGTGGTTACGGCGGACACAGAGGTGGAAGTGCTGGAGAACCAAGGGACAACACCGGCGGCTGGAGACACGGGCCCTTTCATGGAGCAGTCTCATACTGAGGAGGAAACGGTTCTCTTTGCGCTCTTCCTCCGTCTGCTGCCGATGGTGCCAAAGGTAACGGCACCAGAAAGCCCTGTGGTTTGCGAGCCATCGCCGCTTCAACTGGCGAGGGACTGGGTGGCATGGCTGCGCCGAGCGGGAGTCTCAAACCTGCTGCTGACCACCGCGCTTCTGGCTCAAGCAGAGCGGAGACGAAGTCTGGACTACATCCAGGACTGGGAGACCATCCTCATGGAGTTGCACCTGACGCCGGAGGCGGACATGGACAGGGTCGCGGAAGTACCAGAACAGGTGCGAGCAGTGTTGGACTGGGTGGAAGCAGAGATGTGGGACGAGTACATCGACAGGTTGGAGGGAGAGACAGGATGGGAAAGTGAGGAGGTCATGAATGCCAGGGCCCAAGCTACGATGTCGCTGGAGGACCGAGGGAGGTGGGCGAATCGAGCGAGCAGACGCGACTTCAACCTCGACCTCTCTGATGGCTTGACGGTGGGACAAGACGGTGCTGAAGCACATCACCCAACGACCGCCCGGACCAGCCAGGACGGCGAAGACGCCTTCTCTTTGATGGAAAGAACGCGCCGCAGAATGTCAAGCAGAGACCGGGAGGAGAGCGAAGAAGACCGATCGAGGAGGCCAAGGGAGGGAAGACCGAACACCCGCGGCTCGGGGTCAGGGTTGGACAGGTCGCGGACCACGAGAGGGGAGAGGTGCACCACGGAAGTGCGCAGATTGGAGCCGAGGCGACCGACACCGAGACCCAGGCCGACCCCGACGCGAGCAACAGTGCCTACTATGTCGTTGGATGCCGCCACGGCCCAGTGGCTGCATTTTCTCGGCTTGCGCCGGGACCCGGATTCCCAGTCCCTGCAGCCGGCGCTCCCGAACACGGCGGAGCAGCTCCAGTGGATTGATGGGCTCCACGAGCAAGACATGCCGACTGTTATGGGAGGCCTGCTGCGGGTGCTTGCCATGCTAATGGTGGAGTGCAGTCAGCTTTTGATGACGAGGCAGGCCAGCTTCATGGTTGCGGTCCCGGTCGATGATGAAGAGGATGACGACGTGCTCTACATGCAGCAGTCCCAACTCTGGAAACGACGCAAGCCGGACGAGCCAACGGACGCGCAGCTGCAGGAGGAACACTATGAGGCGGCAGTGAACAGGCGACAGCAAGCGGAGCGTGACCGCCAACAGGAGGACCACGAAAGAGAGGAAGAAGCCTGGAACGTGCAAGAGGAAGCCCACGCTGCTCAACTATGGCAAGAGCTGCAGGCGAGTAACTATCGAGACTGGGAACAGTGGGAGGTACTGAACCAGCCGGCAGCAGCACCGAGGAGGCAGCGAATCCGGCTCACGGCCACATCTGGAGCAGGAGTGCAAGCACCCGGGTCGTCGACAGATGTGGGGGTGGTGGAAGCGGCTGCAGAGTGCGTAGTACCCCGACTACGTGGAGGGAGATTGGTGCTCAGGATCGAGATGGAGGAGGTTGGACTGCCAAGGCTGCCGGAGACAAATGAAGGAGAACCGACAGCTCCCGACGCGCAACAGACGGCCGACACCCAGCTCTCCGCGGAGTCGGGGCATGAGGTACAGGCGACGGAGGAGCTGATGGAGGCAAAGTATCGTGCATGGTTGAAGGGGGAGATCAAAGATGCGGAGGTGCTCGTGCTTCTGGGTCAGGATGCTTTGAC